TAGGGCCAGAAGTTTGTGGAACGACGTGGATTCTTGTGATTCGTGTATTCGAACGGATCTTCGCATAGAAGCGGACCAAACATAGGAAGGAGAAAAGTCCGGCGTTGAACTCGTAGATCTGTATATAAATTGAACAATTGTTATTGTATAATAAATCGTATGTCATCATTCGCTATAGATTCCTTGCAATTTCCCTGATTTTCCCTATAAGAGACTGTTAGAAGAACTTTATAATCACGAGCCGTGATCATCACTATTTTATAGCAAATATTAACGGTCGCACTAATCATTAAATGCAGACGAAACATATTAAAAGAACCTAGTACAAAACGTATTTTCTGTGTTACCATAGTAAGAATGTTTCGGGTTACGTAAATTGTGCGAATATTTACCGCGGATGATTTATGCTTCTAGTAACATAGAGTGAAAATTATTATTTAAACATATTCTCTACTACATTTAGAGCGATAAACAAAGACCATTTTTACCTTTTTCAAGCACTAGATTTGAAGCTTCAAGAAGGTAGATTAATACGCTCTATTGGTTCAGAAGCAATAATCACCAGAATATTGTCAAACTCTCAATTGTATACAACTGTTGTCACTGAGTCTCATCAACCTTTCCCGTTTAGTTCACATTTGGATAGCTCTTACAGTATTATACGGACAGCTTTAGTCTTGACCAAGTATTAGATTTGAAGCTTACAGAATGTAGATTAATCCCCGTATAGTGATAATAACAATAAATGACCAGAACACTGTTAAAATCGCATATAATCGTGGAATACCACTATTTTGTTGACCGGTGGCGCCACCCGTGGCGAATCACTGAAACTGCTAGCCGATTTATAGGCTAGCAGTTTGAACGAGTCGCGACGGGTGGCGCCATCGGTCGAAAAAATAGTGGTATTCCGCGATTAAATGCGATTTTAACAATGTTCTGGTTACTCATTGTTATTATCAATGGCAGGGGATTAATCTACGTTCTTCCAGCTACAAATCGAGTGCTTTATCTAGACGGAAGCTATCCGTATAACGGTGTAAGTGGTATCCAAAGTGAACTAAACGGGATACGCTTGATGAGATACAGTGACAACCGTTGCAAATAAATGTAATTTTAACAATGTTCTTGTAATTACTCGTTTCCAGCCGCTAGAAAGAACTAATCTACGTTGTTCAAACTTCGAATTTAATGCGTGACGAAGAAAAATATTGCCTGTTTACAATTATATGTAATTGCAACAGGTTTTGATCGGACTTACACCGCTAAACGAGCATCAGTTTTCCTAGTTATGGATTACATTCGAAGTTTAAAGAGCGCAGATTAGTACTCTCTAGCAGCTGGGAACCAGTAATTACAAGAACATTGTTAAAATCTCAATTGTTTGCAACGGTTGACACTCTATCTCGCGATGCGTACCCCGTTTAGATCACTTTAGACAAGTCATACAACGTTATCCTGACAACTTTCGCCTTGACCAAGCATTTCGTTTGTAGCTTATAGAACGTAGATTAATCCCTTCGCATTGACAATAACAATAAACGACCAGAACATTGTTAAAATCGCATTTAATCGCGAAATACCATTATTTTTCGACCGGTGGCGCCACCCGTGGCAAATCGCTGAAACTGCTAACCATATAATTGGCGAGTAGTTTCAGCGATTCGCCACGGATGGCGCCACCGGTCAAAAATAGTGGTATTCCGCGATTAAATGCGATTTTAACAGTGTTCTGATCGTTTATTGTTATTTTCAATGAGAGGGGATTAATCTACATTTCTTCAGCTTCAATCTGAATGCTTGGTCAACACGCGAACTGTCAGCATAACGTTGGAAGAGTAGTCCAAAGTGAGCTAACCGGGGTTCGCATGACGTGATACAGTGTCAACCGTTGCAAACAAATGCGCGTTTAACAATGTTCTTGTCGTTTATTGTTATTGTCAACGACAGGGGATTAATCTAGGTTCTTTAAGCTACAAATTGAATGCTTGGTCAAAACGCAAGGGGCAATTGTTTGAGATATAAATCGTTAAGATACGTTAACATTCGGCGCCAACTATTTTCCGGTGACACACACGCGCTTTTCCTCAGTCTTTTACTATTCTTTGTATGTACCTCCTCGTGTACAATCAGCTGTGAAATTGTTAATCGGCTATCATTCCTTTTCGCGCAAAACCCACGTCCTAACAAGGGAATTATTTGCGATGAATAAATTACAATATTTTATAAGTCTGAATAATATTTAAGCATTGTTTTACTGTATTATTGCTATACATGTATTGTAAAATCGTATATACAAGTAGTATTCAAGGGAATTGTTGTGAAAGTTTGCAAATTGTGTATTTTCTTCAGATTTTTTCCCAGTATATCCCATATTTTCCATAAATAAATAAATCGTAATTGGTAAACTGAGTTAAAATAGCATTTTAAAAAGTTGAAGTTTAATTTAACGTGAAATTTGAATTTTAAAAAGCACGGGAAAAATGCAAAACCGGGGCTTTTCTCAAGAAATGGTAGCCACCAAGCGCGTTCTCGTGAGCAAATTATATAGTAATCCCAGCAACCATGGTAGTTTCTGCAGATACTACTACAGGTAGGCAGTAGTTAGTTTCTGTAGTAACCTATTGAACCAGGCAACTATAATTAGTATAGGATTGTAAAATATTTATGCAGTTATATTTAAGACAATTCGATGAAATGAAGCTTATATTACCTGACGTATGTTTATTGGAATATACATATGTACATATAAATTATAATGATAGAAAAGTTTGAAATACAATACGATGCGTTACGGTACAATACGTCTATTCGATTCAATTTCTCCCTTGATATACGGAGGCCAACGAAATATCGCTGTAACACTTAAAAAAGTTTTAAAGTCCCATTTATATCATTGTCCAGTGAAAATATTCATACTTCGAGTAGTATTTATATTCCAACATAGAATTCACAGAATGAGGAAAAGGAATCTAAAGTAATTTTCCGTAGTTCCATACATCTTTACCTCGAATAATTTTCTAAAATATTCATAGTACTAGACATTTTTACACTTTGAATCTCATATCGATTTCTAAAATAATCCTAGTTTCATGTAATATAGAACGTGGTTTTATGAGATATATTCGAAGTTCGCAGCCATTAGCTCGATATTGTCTTCAGTTTATAGTACATTACCGAAGAGAATACCGATTGCCCAGGCCTCACCACGAGGAGGTTGCTGCGAGTGGAGGCCCAAGGCAAGTAGATGGAATCACAAGTTCTACATCTACCCACCTTTCACAATAAACCTTATAAATAACTTAAATCTTAAATATATAATACTACCGGTACTAAAATCCCTCGTCGGTTGTCTTCGTTCTTCAGCTTAGAACTAATATTATCTTAA